ACAGCTTTACTGTGGGTCCAACCAGCTGTTATTCTGCATACTTTGATGCTGAAGAGTAGCTCTACAAATACTTGTGCATTCAATTAGAAACAGACCAGCAGGTGATGACCTTCATTAGTCTAAAGTGTTCATTTGAGTGTACTCTGAATTATTAACTGAAAATAAAATTATAAAAGAAACCCCAAAGCCCTGAAATGTCTGAACACAAGCTGTTTTGATAGGAATTTGTTAAATGGCTTCAGTAATTTTCTGCCTTCACTTGTATGCAGTGATGGTGGGAGGGTTGCTTTCTGTGCATCTGTTCTATAAAATAAATGTGGCTGGAAAGCCAAAATGAGGTTACAATGAATGTTTTCAACAACAGAATGAAAGCACTCCATATAACAAGATGAGATTGGTTTATAGGGGTGAGTAAATGCTATGGGATTTTGAGAAAAAAGTTTACTACAACAAACCTGTTTTTGCCAGTTTACTGATTCACCTAGTCTAGTTTTCTGACTCTGTTAGGGTTTGTTACTTCAAAGTAACAAGCAAGATCTATAAATAAAGCAAGCATGGAGGACGAAGAGCTCCTCTCTTGACTTTTACAAGCTGTCAACTTATGCATTGCAAGCTGAAATGCAGTCAGCATTAGATCCTGTCTTTACTGTTTTGTGGTGTTTTGGGTTTTTTTTAAATTGTAAAATCTTGAGCTCTGCTCTTCATCTCTGATATGATTACTGCATGATCTGCAAGGGTCATTATTTTCTCTTGTTCTCTCAACCAGTGATATGTGTGTTTTGCATAAAGTTGATTTTTGCAGGGCTTATGTCAATATTATAGAAACAGCTGGCGAAGATTTAGCTTTATTTACTGTACCAGGATTATTTCTTCTTTTAAATATTATGATTACTTGAAGCAATGCTAGTTGTTTTGAACTGATGTATAATGTAACCTTGCTAATTAGCTTTTTTTTGTTATTGACTCATATTTCAACACTTAATAAGGACAAATATATTAAGACTATAAATTTATTTTCATAATTCATATAAGTCAGCATAGCTCAAAGTAAGAGCATAAGTACCCTATCAGGTCAGACCTGTCTAGCCTAGTGGCAATAGGAGATACTAATTACTTTAAATATTTTTAATCTAGATTGTTCATTTACATGAATGTAACAACTGTAAGATGTAAGTTACTCGCACAGTTTGAGGTACTATAACAATGTTTATAAAAATCTTTATATAATGTTTATATAAAAATACATCAATACTTGTAAAAAGTGTTTTATCTTTCTCTTTACAAAACTTTACATTTTTCTTATTGGGATGAAATATTTTAAAGGCACTGAACCACCACAGCCTTTCTAATGCTTTACTCAAAAACTGGGAGGACTAGGTTGCTTCACCTTCTCCCATTTGAAGTGAAGGAGATAGCACCTTCTGATTTCCAGGATAGGTGAGATTCAGGCTTGGAATAACTGTGTGAATGCTTGTAGGTGACTAAAGCTCCTTCGTCTGTGTTTCTAAGCTTTCAAGTCAGCTCTTGCTTGTGAATTTGGACAATCCTGTATGTGTGTTAAGGTAATAATTTATGAAGCATGGTGTAGATGTGGCTTGTGGTTTGTGTAGGCTTTATTGTTATACTGCTTATATATATAAATATATATTTGTGTAGATGCTTTGCTATTGAGTCTTGTAGAAACAGATGGACTGTCTATGCAATACTGTACTAATCAGGTTAAAACAATCCTGCCAAAATGTAATAAATTTAATAAGTATGAGGTGGCACAGTATCTTTACAATTAAGATAGAAAATGGGTTCCCAAATCAGGGTGCAAGAGCTTCTTGTATAGAAAGATCTGTAAAGGAAAACATGTATATGCATAGGACATGGATTTATGCTGGTGTGTTGTCATGGACATGCATGAACAAGCACATTGTCAACAGGGTTGCGTTAGGGCACTTTGCAGACAACGTGCACAGCTAAGCCTTTGCCACAGACCTGAGCCTGAAAACCTTCTTTATGAGGCTAGATTAGCATTTGAGTCCCCATACTGTGATCCCGACAACTCTGGTGCCAAAGAATCTACTGAACTGACCACACAAACAGAAGGGTGCCAAGCAGCTAAAAGGAAGCCAGGAACCAAACCTGAATCTGGCCAATTTCGTCATAAGCAGAGGAGCATGGATGCACCTAATTATAAATGTGCCATTCTTGGAGCAGCTTACTATATATAAGATGGAGGAATAATAAAACACCATTAAGATTGATCAGGAGCTCCCTAGAACTATTTGAAGACTTGGGAAAAGAGAAGCTGAAGGCTTCTAAATCACTGTAATTAAGTATCTTGGAATGAGTAAATAATAAGTTATCTCTGTGCTCTCATTTGTCCTCTGACTACCAAATAATTATTGAATTGGGGGGGGGGGGGGGGGGGGAGGGGGTGGAGGGGCAGGGAGGAACCCAAATAGGTTGACTAACCTTTTGGTACCTAGATATAAATTAAATGAGAGGTCAGAACAATAGGACTTACTACAGCTTCAGCTTTTTTCTCATTGATGCAATGGAATTTATTTAGGCAATAAGAAGTAAGAGCAGCTGCATGTCATACAATTCGAAATTTCACTCAAACTTAATATTTTACTTAGCCTTTAGCTACGATAACCACAGACAAACCCTATGAAGCGTTATTTGTACCTGTAGAGTACCATTAATTTTCTTTTAATATTTCTCTGCCCCAGGAAACATTTCAATTTAATTTTGCTCTTCATGCAAGGAATCAAGAGTAACGAAAGCCATGATAATTTCCTTTCATTTTTCCCATATTTCCGGGGGGGGGGGAGGGGGGTGAAGGGTGAGGGTTAGGGCAAAAAGAAATAAAACAACTGAAGTAATTCTCAAAAGAGACATGAGAACAAAATTTCTTCTCCCAATATTTGGTATCCAAGCCTTTTTATACATTTATCATGCTGGTTTTATACTGATTCTTAGGCATACTTACAGGTCTGGACACCTCTTGTCTACTTTTTAGATGCAGCAGCTCCTCAAAATAAATTAATTTCTGACCTCCTCATTTCTGGTTTCTGAGCACAGGCAGTGGCAGAAATACAGCTTAATGCTCTTGGTCTGGTTCTTGCTCTGATTTGAGGCACCTAGCATTGGACTTGGGAGAATTCAGGTGTTTAAGCACAAATTATCATAAAAATAATTTGCTTCTTCATCACAAATATAGATTGAGTGAAGCCTTAATTTTAAGTCCTGGGAAGTATCTAATTCTGAGGCATCTTATTTTTTTATTCTGAAACTTCCATGGCACTTGGTGCCTCTGGATGGGTGAAGAACTGTTGATTATTCTGGATGTCATTCTATGTATTATTGTGTTTTATCCATTTATATCTCGGCATGAAATATAGAAATATTTCTGTGGTTATCCTCTAGCTTGTTGACTAAAAATATAACACTTTGGTACCCTAGATCCCTCATCTGTAGACATTCACTCAAAGAGTAGGCAATTCTGCAGAGATAGACATACCAGTACCAATGGTAATCAGATGAATTATTCCCTTGTTCAAAGGGGGAGTGTTATAGCTCCTTTTCATGTGTGATAGCTGACACCCATAAATAGCCTTAAGGACTACACTCAATTTTTCACATTAGGTCCTCTGTTATCAGGAGAACGTAGCAAAATTCTGCTGTGTGCTTCACTAGAAAAGCTAGTGAGCTTGTATTTAAGTTCTAGATTAAAGCCCTCTGAGTCTTTCATCAGAAGAATAAACACTTGAATAAAACATGTATGACATCTTAGTTTAATGAGCTTTGTAGGTGATAGATGTATTAAAGACCTATTTCCTGAACTTATTTAGAATTACCAAAAAAAAAAATAATCAAGAAATTGTAACTCTTTGCTTTCTCAAACATGTAATTGATAATGCCTGCAGTCATTTAAGCAACCTGTTTTCTGGTGTTAATAATAATGTAAAAGGCAAAAAAAAACAAAACCAAAAAAAAACAACAAACCAAAACCCCAAACAAAATAACCCTCCCTCTAGGGAGTCAATGGAATAAAAGCAGGAAAAGATAATTTGACACTTGTTACTTCTGAAAACAAAACAAAACCAAAACAACCTAAACCCTCATTCTTCAAAAAGAAGCAGCGCTTAGTAGAAGCTGATTATAATAATTTTTCTGCTCCCTTGTTCCCCAACACACTTCTCAAGCTACTTTGAGTTGAGATTTCTGCTGCACAGGAACACCGTGACCTGGATGCTCTTGTGTTAGTCACGTTGCAGTGACATGTCCTTGATAGTGTATTGTGTCAATAGCATCCAGCATGGCATGTGTGGCATGTTCCCAATAAGTATAATTGATACTGCATTGCAAGATTTGATAATTTGATAATAAGTTACCTGAAGCAAGTACAGAGGTGATGTAAGTAATGCTTTATGATGTTGCAGGGGATGCTTCTCCCTTTACTAATGCACCTTCCTGTCTTTCATAAAGCCCTGAGATCCTTCAGCAGTGCAGTGGATAGTTAGCTTTGTTTTTTAAGGGGCCTCTTAGTCAAAGATGTCAGATCTGTGAAATACTTCTAATTAAATCTCCTCTGCTGTGGGCTGGGTAACTAACAGTATACCCAATTTATTACAAATTATACAACTGAGACAAAGAAATGAAGATTGTCATCTAAGAAGGCATAACAGTATCTCTCCTTTCTTCTTTTCTATACCTGGTGGCAAAGACCTGCATTTGAAAAAGCTTTCACCTTACTTGAGATGGTATCAGTCAAACTATTATGTAAGTAATCCTTCTACTTCGATCTGGTTTTACTTCCTTCCTGATAAGAACTATAGTTCTGTTTATTTAAAAATAAATCACTGATTGTAGATTTTGCTGAAATTAACTACTTGGGGAAAAAAGGTTTAACTGGGCACAGCACAGACTCCAATTAATTCAGAGTTATCATTGTTGGACTATTCAAATTGCCAGGAATTCTGACTAAAGGATCATTAAAGATAAGTAGGTTAAAACTTAGTTATCATCAAAGTCAGCTGGCAGAGGAGCTAGGTATAAGGCTGCTTGCGTTTTGGATCCTGAGCAATGCAGAGAGCAATGCATTCTTCTGTCCTCTTCCAGCAGTACCTGCAAAAATTGAAAGAGAGATGGTCCGACATGTATGAGGGTGAATGACACAAAACCAACAGTTAAAACATTGACGCTACTGAAAGTTACTGGAAAACAAATAGGTTCTGTTATGGTTACACTTGTTCTCTTTCCTTAATAGTATATCTTGTGATATTTCAGGGAATTGATCTTCACCATCACTAATATAAACTAAGCAACATGACATGGTGGAAAGAATGTATATCTACTTATGGGTGAACCAAGGAGGAAGGCATCTAGTCCTGTCTTGCTGACATGAGGATTGGAACAGAATCACCACAGTACAGATATGATTTTTACAAAATTAGTATCTACAAATTCAATAGTATTTTTCTTGAGCTCATCACTTTCGTATTAGCTGTTCCTGTGTCAGTTGCAGAGATGGACAAAGATGAATCACTGTACAACAGTGATGCATACAATAAAAGGTGCCTGTTGATCTGATAAACATTCCAATATAAAATGTGCTGGCAGAATCCTGTACATGCATCGTGCCATGATTTTGAAAACATGCTCATTGATTGGACTGCAGGACTGGGAATTAATCTAAGTGATTTCAGAAGTGATGGAAGAAATGGTAAAGGGAGGAGGTGGCCATGTGTCAGAATCAGAGGTGCAGAGGACAGTTCTGTGCACAGCTGGATGGTTTCAGCTCTTTCAGCAAATGTTTTCAGTGCTGTACATAAGGTACAAATGTCAGCACTACTCCTAAAACTAGGTGAACCAGAATGAATGGCTTTTCTTTTTTTCCCCCTAGAAGACACCTTTGCCCTGAGGAATAACAAAGGCTATTGCAAATGCTGAATTCACAGTCACAGAATTTCTGCAACGGGTGATGCTCAGCCTGGTGTGGACCAAATATACAGAATTTATGTTGTGGGAAGCTGGGAAATTTTGCATTGAACCTTCATCTCTACTCACACAGACTGGGCACGAACAAGCAAGCTGTCACCAGCAGACAGAGTCATGGTTTTGCCATCCATAATAACAGTCGATGTGCCCTCCTGAAGGGAAAGAACAGTTAACCAGCTTATTTTCCATGTCCTGTCACTAGAAGAAGGAAAATGCTGTGGGTAAGAATGCAAATCCTTCCCACTGAAAAAGCATTTCAAGTCTGCTCTCTTTCATGAGGCCTAGCTAAATATTCAGCGGATCTTCCTTGTCTGACACTATTAGCATAAATAAAAACATGCTTCATGGTTCATTGCTTCCCATCTTGAAGCAGCAATCCTCTACCTGACTCTTGAGGGTACACTGCTACCAATGAACCTAGCAGCCAGCAAGTTGGTACAACTCTGGAAATTACAGAGAACCTCCTGAGGGACTTCAGGCTCCTCTTCTACTTTTCTGATTCCTAATACCTTTTTAAATCTTGAAAAGCAGTTCACAAGTCAGCAGGGAGCTGACAGAAATCACTAATAGGAGTCTCTCCACACTGGAATGGACTCATCCTTATCTCGTCCAGCAGAGGAGCCAGGTTCTTGGGAGCAGCAAGGCCTTGATTGCACAGGCTACTGTAAGCTGCAGTGTGAACAAATGTATTTCAAGATTGTCTTTAATTAGTATTTGATAGTCCCTGTGAATTTCAACAGAACAGGAACTCATAGAAATATCTGCCTCCCAAGCTAGCCTGGCTTGTGTAAATGAAAACTAGCTTTGCTCTCTTTTTCCTTGAGCTGCAAATGTTTCCTAGAGCCTTTTAAGTGAAGACCATCTGTATCACCTACCATTGTGCTTTAGTATAATAAACAAGTTCTCAGACTCTTTCATTAGCTTATTCTATCTGATTCCAGTTTGACTTCAGTATGAGAACAAATGCTTCAAGGCAGAAGTAACAGGTGGTGATTTTTCATCTCTTGGCGGTGTTCTAATATGTACACACAGGATATGATGGAGGATGCCAGTATCTCTGTCCTCAATATAGAAGATGAGGAAAATAGGGACAATTTTTATGGTGGCAGTAGTTTACAGTTATTTTTTGTGATAGTTTAAAGCTGAAGGGTTGTGCCAGTTGATCTTTTCTTTGAGAAGGAAGGTAATAATTTTATTCATGTTGCTGGTGCTGGAAGGCTTTACTACTGTTTAGTCTGAACTGAAACATGAACTCATCAGTTAACAAGTGTGAATTGCCACGTACCAGCTGCCATATCCAGGTATCTGAATTCTTTTTACTTTTCTCAGTTGTTCCTGGTCCATAAGCTGTAACCTTTAAAAAAAAGAAAAAGTAACAAGGAGGAAAAGTAATGGATTAATTCCAGTGACTAAAACGTACATATTCTTCTTCCTACAGCATTGAAAACATTCTATTTTTACAGAAAAATATTCATAGAAGATGACGTTATTTTTACAGACATTAAAATTCACATTATGTTTGGTATTCTCATATTGATTCCTACTGATAAAAAGGGAACTGATCACACCTGCCATTCCTTATGCTTTTCTGCATCCTCACTTATCTACTCCTTCTGCCTCCTCCCACTCTCAGCTTTGCATCTATATCCTTCCTGCTTCTGTTCTTGGAACAGGCACTTCCTCCTCATGAACTCTGGGCCCCATCAAGAGCCTGTTGATGTAGAAAAGGTTCTTCCATTAACATGAAAAAGCTGCAGACCAGACCTTATTTTTCTCATTATCAGCCCTTTCTGTGGTCTTCCTGACAGTCCCACATTCTCTGTCACTTTGCTGTCAAATGTATTGAATTCTTCAGAGTGTGACTCCAAGTAACCCAGGGAAAGGATATGTTTTGTAAACTGTCATGCATACAGCACAGATATCAAATGGTGACAGCTTCATTTACACCCAAACTAGACTCTTCAAACTGAGAAGTGCAATGCTTTAGCACAACCTAGGCTCTCTGGTACTGTCCAGTTTTCCTTGTTTCCACTTTATGTAGATTGAGGGGGGAAAAAAGTGTATTTACACACCCAGGTTAGACATGGTACTAAGAATGCTGTTCAAACGTATAGGGAAGCTGAACAAGTAGTGTTTGCATCATACTGGTGTTTCCAATTTGGGAAATTATGGGGGGGCAGAGGGATGGAGAGAAGGAACTGCTAAATCTCAAGGGAAATAACGGAATTGAAGTTTGGGCTAATTCTGTGAACAGAAGTATCTGAGCAAGGAAGCCCCTGCCCTAAGCTAGTCAAATCAATATATGAAGGCAGTTACTTCTGCAGGGCAGGCTAAGACTGAGTTGTTCTGTAGGGGTGTGTAACTTTCTCTGCTGACTACATATTTTTCCCAGGCCTGGATTCAATCAGTCTGAACAGCAGACAATGTGGACAGTGGGATTAAGTGCACCCTCAGCAAATTTGCTGAGAACACTGAGCTATGTGGTGAGATAGGCATGCTGGAGGGAAGGGAGGCCATCCAGAGGGATCTTGACAGGCTTGAGAGGTGGGCTTGTGCAAACTGCCTGAAGTTCAACAAGGCCACGTACAAGGTCCTGCATCTGGGTCAGGACAATCCCAAGCACAATACAGGCTGGGCAGAGAATGGATTGAGAACAGCCATGAGAAAAAGGACTTGGTTGATGAGAATCTCAACATGAGCTGGCAATGTGTGCTTGCAGCCCAGAAAGGACAAGGGGCAATAGCTTTACACTGGAAGAGTAGACTTAGGTTAGATATTAGGAATAAATTATTCACTGTGAAGGTGGTAAAACATTGGAACAGGCTGCCCAGGGAGGCTGTGGATGTCCCATTCTTGGCAGTGTTCAAGGCCATGTTGGATGGGACTTTGAGCAACCTGGTCTAGTGGGAGGTGTCCATGCCCATGGCAGGGATGTTGGAATTAGATGATCTTTAAGGTCACTTCCAACCCAAACCATTTTGTGATTCTATGATTATCTGCACCTTTAAAACTATCCCTTTCTTTCAGAGAAATTAGACATCCCTACCTCTGTTTCAAAGTTATTTCCAAACATATTCAAGGATTTCTTCTGTTTTATTTCACCACGGTGATCATTTAGCCAGCCTTGGAAGGAAAATGGCTCCATCACAGAAGTGAGATTTAGTGGGAAAGGTGTTTCTTTCAGGAGTTCATCTGTAAGGAAGGCAGAGGGCTGTCAGTAATGCTTACTTTCCTTGATCTTTGTAAACAACAGTAAAATGTTTTCAGCCTGAAGGGTTCAATTTACAGATATTATCTAGTCAAAAGTAAGTTTTAACAGCAAACACTGCTATGGTCATTATCGGGACTTCTTACTTGAGGTTGCAAGATGCATGGATTTTTTTGGGACTTTATGGAGTTGCTTCTTTGAAGCTGCTGTTAGAACAGTTGTGAATTTGTTAAAAATGCATTCAAACAGTGTACAAGAGAATACCTAGTTCTTGCTTCCATTTTCTTCATTCTCTTTCAGACCAGGTTTTGCACTGGTAAAATTTGATGTCATCTCTGAGCCTTTGATGAGTCACCCCTTACATATCCTCAGATAAGTGGATAGAATAATCTTTCATATAGTTAGTACTGGCTTATATTTCTTCTCCCCTATGTGTTTTAAATACACTGATCACAGTGGAGCAAACCAGTTATCACAACCTTAAGTTTAATAAAATGTTCTTTTTGTGGTGTTTCTGGAGTTGTAGCTGGATTTAATTTCCAGCAATTCTCCTTTAAAACTGATTTTATTTAAAATAGCTAGAGGACCAAATGCAGTTCCAGTCTAGCTGGTGAAATTCAAGCTTTGTGCTCTGTGTTGCTGGTGTATGGAATTACCTTTAGTTATCTACCAGTGAAGCACAGGGACAGCATAATCACCTTGGTGATCCTAAGTAGTTTGTTCTGAGATGCCATAAGGGAACACCCATGGAGTAGTTTCAAATAATAATAATGCCAACTAGATGCAGGAAAAACTCACTTGATGGCTGTTTCCCAAATGCATTGAGGTAATGAACTCGCAGCCAAATCTCAGTCTTGGTGCTAGTAGTAAAGTAGCTCTTTTTTAAGTAGTAGTGTATTCATTATGCCATGTTCTTCTGGTTCTTTTCTAAAACTGTATCTGCAGTGTTTTGAATGTATCATTTCATTTTTTCATGGAAGATCATTTCAATTCTAGTCTTTGTACAATAAGTGAGGTCAGTGCATCCAAGGGACAGCAATGTACTGAATAGCCTACTGCTCTTTAATGGAGATCTACATCCATCTCCAGACCACATCTGGATGAGATGCTCACTTTTATTGCAGAAATGGGTTTTGCCATTCAAATTTCTTCTACATTATACTAAATTAAATTGAAGTCAACATGTTTCTGCAAATTATTTGCTTTCAGGCTATACTGAAAGCAATCTGAAGAAATCTGCAGCAAAACAAGTAATTTTTTGTTTGAAATCTTTTTGCCTTGCAGGATTTTTTGTTGTTTTTTAAAATTTCTTTTTAAAAAAACATCCTCCTTTTGCATTGTTTAACTCAAATACTTAACACAGTTTTATTGAAAAACAAACTCCTCTAGAGAAATTAAGCAGCACCGGAAGAAAATCTTTACATTGCATTCATTCTGGAAGCATTACCAAGATTGAATCTGAACATTCTATATTTTGTTTGATACCACTAAAATGTAGTGTTAAGGTCATTGGTGATTTTCTTTTTTTTCACACTGCAATATCTCTAGGGGCTTTTTTTCTTATTTTTCATAGGTTCATTACACTTGCCTTGGAGGTAATTAGGAATGCTTACACACTTTGTCCTCTGTCCTGGTTTAATAAGGGTGAACCACAAACCGGGGGGCAGAATTGCTCCCTATTAACCGCGTTTCACCCTTCGAAGGGAAGATAAATGGGGAATAAGGAAGAGATACTTAAGGGTTGGAAACTGAAACTGGAACAAATTTACTGTAACACAGAAAAGGGAATAACGTGGGGGAAAGAACAGATACATAAGCTTATATACAAAACTGATCTTGATAATCACAGGAGTAAGTGGGTGAAAGTCCTTTGTGATGAGGCCACTTCAGGAGGGTTGTCCACAGCTCCTCACAGCACCCAGTGGAGTGGGATTCTGGAGAGCACATGGTGAACTGAAGAACCTCCAAGCAGCAGGAAGAAAAAGGGAGCTGACCTTCTGGGTCTCTTGGTTTTATAGAGGATGGCAGGAAGTGGGAGGGAATACTGACCCCTCTCTGTTCTGGTCCTTCAGTGTCCTAAACCCCCCCTCTTTCTAGTTCTTCTTACAGGTGTCAACAACTTGCTGGGCCACTTAAACCATAACATCCTTAAATTATGAATGTGCTAAATTATAGCTGTATTGGAAAGTTGGTTTTGGCAGAGGCCAGGTACAGAATAAAAGTCTAAAATATGATTATATATTCACACACAGCAGAGAAGACAGACATTTAACAGATGGTACTTATGCAATTAGTATTCCAATAGGTTTTTAATTTATTTTTTTCATTAATAGTATAAATCTTTACCTTCTAAAATAATATGAAGGTGATAGAATTTCTTTCTATTATCAGAGTAAAAACGGTCACTCTGGAATTTAGAAAAGCCTTTTGGAATACAGGAATGTTACTCACTGGTAAGGTTTTCTACTAAAATGCAAGTCCCATTTGAGAGATTTTAAAAAAACAAACAAACAACCCCTCAAAACTGGTATGTAGCAACTGGTAGGATAAGAAACATACCAAGAAGCCATGAGTATCCTATCCTATTCAGCTCAAGGGGATACATTTTCTCCACAGGTTAAGAATTCCAGCATCAAGCTAACAAGTTCTGACTTCATATGCTAGAGAATGGATAGCAAAAAGCTGAGTCTCTAGTGTGGGCACTGTGATGTTTTAAGCAAGCAGAACTACGAATGCTCTCCATGAGCTGCAAGGAATTTGGCATACAAAAAAATCCAAAGTACTTGTTCATGTTCTGACCAGGAAGCAGCACAAATCTAACAAGGAAAAGTAACTATAAGCTTCTTAGTTTGTAGTTTTACTTCTGTCACTTGTTCCCTGTAAATAGAATTTTGCTAGTTTTCCTCTTTCTAGTGATCTCTGATTCCAGCTGTCCTGACCAACAGGGACAACATGCACCGGACAACAGTAAACATTGATCTATGCATACCGAATGACAATGTAAAGCGTAAGACATCCTATACCTACTACAGAGCACTCATCTTTCTTGCTTGTGTTGTACAGGCACTTTCTAAGAGCTACATTTACTTCCAGGTAAAGATGGACCTTTAGATTTTAAATTCTTCAGGGCAAGAAGAGCTGTGTTTTGACACTTGTCTTGTCAGTTGGCTCAGTCTGTGATGGAATTTTAGCTTATTACTAATTTGATGTTAATGATACTTGCCCAGTGATAACATAATAGCCTTTGAAAACTGAGCCTTTAGTGTGATCTAGTATAATGATTGGGTTACTTGTTACTGCAGAACAAAGAACAGGACACTGTGATGAAGTACATGACGTATGTCTGACATTCTTAATAGCCTACTTGACTGGGTCCTCATTTAACCTTGACCCTAATCCCCTGCACGATGCTGAAAGCTGCAGGTGCCCTAGAGCTTGTGAACATGAGCCAACAAGCTATGATGAGGAGGACCCCATATTTTGCAGTCCCATACAAATCACAGTTGAAGCCTGGTGCTTCCAAAGGAATTGTTTCTTATCAGGCTAAGGGATTCTATTGTTGCATGTGTTTCTGTTTAGCCTGTACATTAGCTTTCAACAATATCTCAGAAGTGTGTGTTGGTGTGTTTCTTGAGTTCTTATGTTCTAGTAATACTGTGAGACATGGAGACAACATGTTTAATGGTGGTAAAGGTAAAAATATGCCAGCACAATGCAAGAAGATGGCAATTCTAAGCTAGTAAGCTAAAAGTCTTGTGTATGTATCTCCAAGTAATATATCACTAAGTGGAATGTCAAATCTAATATTTTCTTACAAGTTCAGGAGACCATTTAAGTAGTTCAATAATAAAGTCCATTTTTGTAGATCATTACTATTAAATATTCATATTGCAGCAATGTGTTCTTTATGGGTTTTATAGGTATTTTCAGCATTACATTAGAATATGATGTTATCATGTTAAGATGAAAAATACATTGTGTTTACTGAATGAGTCTGTAAATATTTTAAAAAGGAAATTACAGATTTAGAGGAAGCTTATTTCAATTAAACAATAGAGGCTGTACTGAGGATGAGAATATGAAGCTGTGCAAAAACAGAGAACCTCCTGCAAGAAAACAGCCAGTGAACACACAAGTAGTTATAGCCTCAACAGAGACCATCTAAGGAGGACTTTGAACTTGCTGGGAATAATCTGATAGCAATAAAGAAGACAGGTAAAAGAGGACTGCCACTGGCCTACCAGGTATATGTGGGTGTATTTGCTTATCCCAAACTTGCATGTTACATGAAAGCTCCCCCTTCTCTATCCTAGTGACGTGTCTAGGATTTCTTGTGAATAAATCGGACCATCTCCTTCACCTGGTGTTTCTTGAGCCCTACTATCCTCTATACTATTGTTGCAAAGGAAAACAGCGATAAAGCACATGAAATACAATGTATTGAAATAGTGTCAACTAGAAAACTGAGTGTTGGCTTTATGAGAAACTGTATTTTTCAGTGACATGCCAGCCTTCACTTCTAGGCAGCACATTCTAGATGGAGCAATCTTCAAATCTTTAAATTACCTTATGTTCTTACTAATTAGGAAAACCTCTCTATCAGAAATCACTGTGGTGCCTCAGAAACAGGCTGTCCCTGCGTGCTGTGGCCCCAGCATCACACAAAGACCTGAGAAAGTCCCTTACAAATGGTATCTCCCTCTATAATGTAGAAAACATCCAAAACAGAGCAGTTAGAAACTCTTTGAGTTTTTTTATTTTATCCTTTAACTGATCATAAAAGGGTCCAGACTAGGGATAAGGAGCTCATATGTTATGTTAGAACTATGTATTAATTTGTTTCTGTCCACTTTCTAATTACCCCTTCCATCTCTTCAAGAATACTATATCAATATCAATAGTTCTGATTTGACAGTTTGGAAGCATTTCACATTTAATTGCCTATGTCAGCAGTAATATCTACCGGGGATGTTTTTCCCATATG